GTGGATCATCATGCCCGTGATGCCTGCGAGAGTGTGTGTGTCCGGAAAAAAAGGGGTGGGGGGGATAGGAAGGGGGGGGATACCAAGGAGGAGGGGGGGGGGGGGGGGTAAGTCGCGAAAGGATGCAGCCAGCAAGGTCTAAGAACTGTCCAAGACGTGGGAGCGCTTTGGGCGCGCGGCATCGGGACGGCTGTCGGGGGCCCTGACGCAGTTGCAGCAGCGCACCCACCCGTGGGCGGCGCGAGAGGGCGGTGTCTTGCAAGTGTGTGACGGAAGTGTCGTCTGCGGGGGCGGGCCCGCACCCATCACGGACGTGTCTCGGAGGTGTCTCGAGGAAGTGTCACGGAAGTGTCGTCTGCGGGGGCGGCGGGCGCACCCATCATGGCGGCGCGGCCGTTGTTGCGCTCCGCATTGAGCTTGAACTTCTTGGTCTCGGGGTCGTCGTACCGCACCCACGAGATGCCGCCCACGTCGCCCGGCTCCTTGGACGGGTCCGTGGCGCCTGCGGGGTGCGGAGGGGGGGGGAAGGGGGGTGTGGGGGGGCGGGGGGGGGGGGGAGGGGGGCTGGCTCAGCATCATTTCCGCCCTCAAGCAGCGAGAGAGGGGATTGAGGGCGGGAGAGGCGCGGGAAGAGGGAGGGCGCGGCGCGCCCTAAGCAAGCTCGAGGAAGATGACGAAGCCGACGATCTGCAGCCAGCCGAGCGCCGGCACCGCGTTGTACGAGTCAAAGCAGCCGCCTGTCGGCACGGGCGGAGCTCGGCGCCGCGTCAAGCCGGGCAGGGCATGCGTCGCGTGGGAGGCGGCCGCTGCGGGAAGGGACCGATCCGTCGCGGCGGCGGACGGGGCGGTGGAGTGTGAGCTTCGGCGTTGCGCGGTCCCCTCTCGCCCTGTCCGGAGAGCCCTCTTTCGCCGGCGCTGGCGGGGCGGCGCGCACCCGGCAGGTCGGCGAACTTGAGGTCCAGCGACTTGGAGAGGTAGCCGGGCCAGCGGAAGCCGGCCTCAGTGGTGAGGACGCCGACGGTCGCGAGCATCGCGATGCGGCCATGCTTGATCTCGAGCTCCACGTAGCGGCGGTAGTCGCGGCGCGGGTAGTCCACCGGCTCCGCGAGGCAGCCCAGCGGGTCCCACACGCCCAGCGGCGGCGTCACGCCGATCTCGCCCTCCGCCTTCATCACCGGCGCGGCGACGCGCGTGGCATGCGGCAGCAGCGGAGCCGTGAAGGTGGGCAGGGAGGTCGCGGCGATGCTCAACATGGCTCCGAGGTTGGGAGATGCTAAATTTGCCGCAGTGAAAAAAAAATCGTGAAGCGTGCCCTATACGAGGGGGTCCCTGGGACCCTGTCGTGTGGGTGAACCTGCCCAGCCCCCCTCCGTGTCGCGATGCGCTACCCGCTCCCGTTCCCCTGTGTCCCTGATCGTCCTTCCAAGATCCTGCTCGTGCAGGTGGGGAGAAGGCCCCCGCACCGGGGGTCCCGGGGGTCCCGGTTGGCCTTAATACGTTTTTCTCGCCCAGTACTATCTATATTCTTTTTCCGTATTCTTTCCGTATTCTTGTCCCAAACAGGGTCTATATTCTCGAATATGCCCAAGAATACAGCTCCATCGCAGTCTCTCCACCGCATCGGCCGCGCCGTTGCCGCGCGCAAGCTGTCCGACGGCCGCCCGTGCCACACATCCCGTCAATCAGGCGCCGTACACGCTTCAGTCGCCGCGGCTGCTCGCCCGCGTGTCGCTCACGCCGATGCGGCTGCACGCGGCGAGCACCGAGGGCGACGACGCGTACCCCTCTGTAATCTACTACTCACGCCGCGCACCGGAGAACGGCAACGGCCGCCTCTTCAACAGCAACCACGATGAGATGCTCCCGCGGCTCATCAGCAGCCGAATGAAGCACTTCAATCGCGGTGCGAGTCGCCCCGTGCAGCGGCGGCGGCCGCCGCTCCCCGCGACGCAAGCCTTCGCGCCCCATGCCCCCCGCCTATGCCTGTGCCTGTCCACCGGCCGACTGCGACTGCGCCACTTCGTGCCCCAAAGCGACCCCTCCCCGCCCTCCCCGCCTCCCACCTCCCAGGCGAACGCTTTGTTTTCTTCAACGGCCGGCAGACGGGCGAGTACCCGCGGCCGGGCTACCCGATGACGGCGGCGCAGCAGCTCGCGCTCTTTCGGACCGCCAACCTCTTTATCGGACCGCACGGTGCGCCGGTCACCCTCTCTCATCCACGCCGCGCGCCCACAGCCATCCTGTCGCGCCGACTCCTCCTCGCCGGTTTCTCTCGCGCACTCCCTGGGAGAGGCTTGGCTTTCCCTGCCGCTGCCGCTCCTCGCTCTCTGCGCACTTGCGCGCGCTTGCCCGCAGGCACCGCCTTCGCCAACGTGCTGTGGATGCGGCCCGCGAGGGGCAGCGAGGGGTGCGAGACGCATCACCAGCGGCTCCCTCACGTGATCGAGTTCGTCTGCGGCGCGGGGAGCGCCGCCGTGCGCGAGGGCTGCCCGTACGTGCGCAGCTACTACTACATGCTGGGCGGCGCCGCGTGGGTGAACTGGCACCACGTGCTCTACACGCCGCGGGCGACGGCGGGGGTCGTCAAGGTGGACTTTGGCGAGGTCAAGAATGCGCTCGACGCGATCCTCAAGCACCTGCCCCCCACCAACCTCCCGCCGCACTGGAGCACGATAGAGGGGGTCACCGGCCCGCCGCTCGTCTCCGAGGCGGCCGTCTGGCTGCGGCGCACGGGCGGTGGGCAGAATGAGTCGCGGCAGGTCGACGAGGATGACGACATACCCAAGAACATCACGGGGTGGACGGGGTGGCGGCAGTTTATGATGCTCGAGACGCTGCCGAACTGAGCGACAGGGGGGTGGGGGGGGGGGGGGGACCGAGGTACGTAAGATAAGATTTAAACACTTCTCCACAGGCACACAAGGTGGTGTAGGGACAGGGGGGGGGGGGGGGGCAACTCTCGGGACTCCCCGTCTAAATGACAGGGGCCCCCCGGCATTAATTAAATTGCACCTCTAGGTATCCCAGTCCCGTCCGGGTCGGGGCGCCGACTCGGGGCCACTAGGCTAGGGCCACTACTCCCCGGGGGGTGGTCCTGCTGCGCCGCGCAAAGGGAAATTGCCGGGGTCGGGTCACGGGGGTGTGCAGAAAGGCAAAGGGCTCTCGCTCCCGTCGTTTGCATTGAATGATATGAGAAACGACACGTCCGCTTCTCTTCTATTCTTGGTCATTAACTTTCCCTTGGACGGACATCCCCCCCCCAATGGAAAGGCCGCGCACTAAACGTAAGGCCCGGCCGCCGGCGTCTGGCAGCCCGCTGGGGGCCGCCGGCAGTGGCCCGCCCGCGCGCGGCCGGCGCCAGCCCACGCCCCGCGGCCCCGTCCGACTGACGTGAGCCCCCGACTTTTTATCTAAAACCGGCCGGCGCTTGGTCTTGCCTCGCCGCTCCTGCCTCTTCCACTGTCGTCTCGCCGACCGCCTTGCCCGTGCGCCAGGAGCGATGGCGCTGATGGACCTCGACACTGCCGACGGCAAGTGCGCCGGGACGCGCCTGGAGAGGGTTTTGACGAGGGTCAAGCTCGGCGCGACCGCCGACAGCTGCGATGACGCCGAGGTACAAGTCTCCGTAGCGAGACAAAGGACAGCTGCGACGTTGTACTACGCCGCCGCGGCCACGCTGAACCGATGCGAGCCCGCGCTGCAAGAGCGGTGCGCACAGGAGATCTCCTGCGCAATCGGAGTCTTCGCAAAGTCGTACCCCACGCACTGCGCGGACGTGCAGGATCTGCTTGCAGTCGAGAACCTCGTGGGCTTGCTTGCGCAGGGAGACTCGCGCGGCTGCGCAAAACTTCGCGAGGTTCCGTGCGTCGACACAGTCTTTGCCTTGGCCGTGGGCTGCACCGTCGCCGAATTCTGCCCGATTGCTGACGCCCTCCTCTCTACGCTCGTGCGCAACCACGGTGAATCTCCGCCCTTTCGCACTCTCGCTCTTAGCGCAACGCCGCGGACCGTGTGCTCCGGCACGACATCCTACCTGCCGCCCCAGAACTCTGTGAGAGTAGGCACAGAGCGACCTTCACACACACACGCTCACGCTCACGAACGGCGAACGGGGTAATGCACTTCCAGGTGCCGACGCCCTCAACGTGGGCGCCACCGCCTCGGCCCTGGCCTTCCTCGCCGGTGGCGGCCCGGACGGAACCTCTCTCGACGACTCGGGCGCGCTCGTGGCCGCCGGCTTTCTGCTCGATCTTGGGGCTGGGCCAGACGACGGTGGCCCAGAAGGGCACACCCCGCTGATGCTCGCGGCGTGCGATGGGAACGCGTCGATGGCAAAGCTGCTCCTCGAGTCCAAGGCATCGGTCGACCTTCGCGGCGGATCCCCGGCCGACCCGCTCTATAATCCGCTCTCCATTGCCTGCTTCCGTGGACACGAGAAAGTGGCCTGCCTCCTCCTCGCCGCCGCCGCCGACCCGAACGTGAAGACCAGCCGCATGCCACCGCTGCACCTCGCCGCGCACAGCGACAGCGTCGAGATCGTGGAGTCGTTGGCTGCGCATGGCGCAAACCTGGACCACAAGGAGCCGACCTGGAACGGCGAGACGGCGCTACACCTAGCCTGCCGACGCGGCCACTTCGACGTCGCTACGGCCCTGGTTGCTCTCGGCGCTTCGACCAAGATCAAGAGCTTCAGCAGCATGACGCCCATGCAGACGGCACGCGCGTTCAAGCACGACGACCTGGCCGCTTGGCTCAAGGCGAGCAGCGAGGCGGGGCCGAAGGGCAAGGGCGGCAAGGGCGGCAAGAAGGCGCGGCACGCACAAAAGCTGGCTCCCGCGGTCGCCGGGTCCGCCGCCGCCTCCAAGGCCGTCGCCGCCTCCAAGGCCGCCGCCGCCTCCAAGGCCGTCGCCGCGTCCGCCGCGCAGCTAGCGGAGATCGAGGAGAGGCACGAGCAGCGGCTGCAAGAGGAGGCAGCGGCGGAGCAGGCAGCGGACGAGGCGCAGCAGCAGCGGGTGAGCGACGAGGAGGCACGCCTCGAACGAGTCCTCGAAGCTGAGGCGTGCAAGCCAAAGGCGGGGCACCCGCGCTCGGCGGCCGCCGCCGCGCTGGCCGCCGCCGCCGCCGCCTCCTTCACGCAGTGCGAGATTGAACTCAGCCTCTCGCTGCAGCGACAGCCGCAGGACGTGGGTGAGGCGGCGGGCATGAAGGCGGCCCTGCATGCCGCCGGCGAGAAGGCGACGATGGTGGCGCTCCCGTCCATGGTCGACTACGCAAAGCTCAGCGTCTCCACCGAGCCCCACGCCGGCACGACGCTCTTCTTCAACGTGTGCCTCAAAACCCCGCCCTCGGACAAGGTGCTGATTGCGTTTCGACGCGACGTCGCACGGTTCAGCCACCTCACGCCCCTCGCGCCATCGCCGCTCCCTTCCCTCTGACGCCCCCAGCTGCCCGGGAATAGGTGGCTGCTCGCCGCGCACGAGGCGTACTGCACCTTCAGCCAGAACCTCGGCGTTCACCTGCCGCCCGAGCCGTCGCGCGGCGAGATCTTCGCGGCGCGCAGCATCAAGGAGGCGCCCACGTTCCACGGCCGCATGAAGCTGCGCTCCGGCGTGTTCCCGCACGACTGGCTCTGCTGAGAGGCGGCTCAGGGCGGCGGCAGAGACCTTTCGACGGTCGATGACCGGCATGCGGGGAGCCGGCGGCCGGGGGGGCCGTCCCGGGCGCTCGCTCGGGCTCGCAGGCTTGCAGCCTCGCCGAGCCGAGGGAGCCCAAACAGAGAGCGTGTTTCCATGGTTGACCTCTGCGAACATCTGCGAGAGTCCTGCGAGCAGGCCCAGCAAGCCGCAGCAGCTCCCGGCAGGCGCGAGGGCGGACAGGGAGCCGGGGGACATTGGGAGGGGCAGGAACAAGGGGCGGAGCGCGGAGCTGCGTGTCTCGGTTCGTCGCGTGGCGTGGTCCGGGCAGTGAGCGCAGGTGCCGCAGCGTCCAAGCGCGAGACCGAGAGTAGAGGGTGCGGTGCATCGCTTCAGTGAGGCCAAAGTGAGTTTATGGATGTGTGAGAACGGTACGGGACACGAGGAATCACGCGGACCGACTCGTCGGTGACTCTGCTGCACGCCGTTTCAGAATTTTTCTCAGCGTGAGCGAGACGTGGAAGAGTGCCACCGTCGGATAGGACGGGTCGTCCCGGAGCATCAGAGTAGCCGTCGTGGTCGCGGCGAGCAGCGCCGGCCACTCCGGCGCCGCGTCGGCAACATGGGAGCATGTCCACCGCCACTTCGCGGTCGCAGCGCTGCTTGTCGCCCGAAACGCCGCATGTACCTCTGGCGGGCCAAAGATCGCCTCGCATGTCGATTTCTCGACTTGACGGCAGCATGGAGGCATGATGCCTCCATGCTGCCGTCAAGTCGGAGCCAGTCTGCGGCGACCACAGCGCTCGCAGGAGGTACATGCGAGCTATTCAGAGTCAAGCTTTTGCGCGAAATCCCACACTGGTGGATTTTGGGGCGCTGCGCACCCCCTACCGAGAGGTCTCGTGCTGCAGGGGTCTCACTCTCACGTGTCCCTCCGTGGAGAGGCCAGACAGCCGCGCAAGAGGCGTGTGTGTGTGGTCCGCTCGCGGGGTCCGCGGCGGGGCGACGCCGTCGTGCGCTCCCGCGTCCGGCCGCCCGGCCGAGAAAAACATGTGGAGTCGATGTGTGACGCGATCCCGCACAGAGAACACATATGACAGTTTGCAGTCGTGACGCGCATATCGCACGGTACGAGCGGAGCGCTATGAGGTGTTCTCACCCTCCGCCTCGCCGGAGACGGCGAGCTCAGCCATCGCTCCCTCCACATCCTCCGCGTCCTTTCTCGCCGCCTTCTTGGTCTCCCTCTCCGCCTTTTTGGCCGCGGCGGCCGCCTTCTTCTCCTCCTTGGTCAGCTTCTTCTCGAAGAGCGGCTTGACCTCGACGGCGGGCGCCGCAGGCGCAGCGGCAGCAGGGCCGCCCATTCGCGGCCGCTCCGCGGGAGGCGCGTCGCCGGCGGAGAAGGTCTCCGGCACGAGCGCAGCAGCACCCGCGCCGCCGCCCACCCAGCCGAGCATCGGCGCGTCGCAGAGCATGCCCTCGCTGCTCACGCCGCCGACGGCCGCCTTCTTGACAGTCGTCCCGTCGCGAAGCTCACAGCCGACTGTGGCGACCACCACGCGGCTGTCGACGCGCACGTTCGACGCATTCGTGACTATCGTCAGCGGGTCTCCGCCGCTGCCGATGTCCACCTCGAGCGCCTGCAGCTTATCCTTGCCGGCGACCGGCGAAACCGCCTGGACGATGCCGACGACGAAGGCCGGCATGAGTTGGTGATGCTGCTCGTGAGGAGAGTGGGAGCGAAGCGTGTGGCGGAGGCGGGCGGAGGCGGAGGAAAAGAATTCTGGAATCCTTGAACAGTGCGTCCTCTCTTCAATCGCACTGAGATGAGACCGCCAGTGGATGTGGGAGTCCACCGCGCACCGCGCTGCGAGCCTGTCGTGTCCCTTGTCAGGAGCAGGAGAGCCCCACCTGTCCCCCTGATCGTTCTTCCAAAATCCTGCTCGTGCAGGTGGGGACCCTGTCCTCGTCCCATCCCTCGTTTGGCGTGTCTGTTTTCTTTCTTTCTTTCTTTCTCTTCAATCGCTCTAACGAAGTGGTGATCACCACCTTTCCGCTCGGAGGACTAGATGGCGCAGATCTGCGACGCCGCATTGGCTTCGCCTCGCAAGGGGCTGGTGGCCGGACGCGCAATGTGAGTCACAACGACACGCTGAACAACATCCTTGCGTGCGACCACTCGACAAAAACAACTGTTGTGCGAGGCGTGAACCGCGCCAATCGCTCTCACCTGGCAACCCTGTCTGCACGTCTCGCGCGCGCGTGAACAGGGCTCCAGGCCCCAAATTACGTGTGAGTGTTAGAGTTGTTTGGTATTGCTAAAAATCTCTCTCTCACTCCCACTCGAAGCACCCGGAGCTCGCTTCTCGACGAAATCTCGCCTCGCCAGTGGAAAACCCTGCGTACCCACCTGGAAAAGGTCGAACAGCAGCCAGACGCGATATGTCACAATTGAAAGAGGGGTACCCGGAGAATCCCCAGCTGCGGAAACGTAGTGTCGCTCAAGAGGTGCGATACTGCGGGGGAGTGTAAGGTGCCTATATGGGCTTCCAGTATCGGACCTTCAAGACATGCGCTTTTTGCCGGTGGCCTCCTCGGACAGGGGGGGCAGGTTCCGCGCCGGTCCGCGCCCTTGCCCCGAGCCCCCGTCGAAGAGCGCGACGCTTTCGACGCGCTCTTCGACGGGGGCTCGGGGTACGGGTGGGATTCCTCCTCGGGGGGCGGCGCCTTCTTCTAGGCGCCCGCCTTGACCCAACATAGAGGGCGTTGTGGGCCTAGCTTTTGGGTACTGTTGTGGCCTAAAGTCTGCCCAGGTTGTGGGGGACACGATCCCGGCGTGAACACGACTAACTGACGGATCCGCTCCTGACAGTCGCACGCGCCGCGCTGCAGCGCGTGCGACTGTCTTTGTTTGAAGTAAAAAGTCGAATCAGAGCGCCGTCGGCACCGCTCCGGGACGCACGCCGGCGAAGCACCATCAAGCTGCTGTACGGCCCCGGCATCGCCTTCCCAGGCTTAGCTAGACTGAGAGATATTGTGGACATGGTTGATCTCCACAATATATACACTGACACTGAACCTCCCAGAGCTCGTCCCGGTCCATCACGGCCATCCTCGGCCTCCGGAGGGCCCCCGCCCGGCCGCGGCGCGGTCGGTGTGGCGGAGTCACAAATCCGACGGCAGAGCACCGGGACGTGGTCGGGCGATCTGAGGCCCAACTAGGCGTATGCATTGCCCATCCAGGGCTGTCACCTGGACCTATCAACAGGCGCCTGCGGCGCCGTGCTCAGGAGCTGCTGCTCCAACCTGTTCACACTTTCGTACAGCACAGTAATGTAATGGCTCGAGCGGGAGAAGCGCGCGATCCCGGCTACTCGCGCTCGCGCTCGCGCTCGCGCTACCGCGACCGCCGGGACCGCGACCGCGGTGACCGCGACCGTGACCGGCGGAGCCGCGACTGGCGGAGCCGCGACCGGCGGAGCCGCGACCGCGACCGCCGCCGCGACTACAGCTCCTCCTACTACTCGGGCCCGGTGCTCACAAACCTCACCGCCAGGTCGCTGCTCATGGCGTGCCACGAGGGCCACGTCGAGATCGCCCGGCTGCTTCTCGAGTCCGGCGCGGCGGTCAACCGACCCGCACCGAACGGGGCCACGCCGCTGTCCGCCGCGTGCGAGGGCGGCCACCTCGAGATCGCCCGGCTGCTGCGCGACGCTGGCGCGGCGGTCGGCCAAGCCAATGAGCAAGGCGCCACGCCGCTGTTCATGGCGTGCCAGGAGGGCCACCTCGAGTGCGCCCGGCTGCTTCTCGAGGCTATCGCGGCGGTCAACCAAGCCCACGAGGCAGGCGCCACGCCGCTGTACATGGCGTCCCAGAACAACCACCCGGAGATCGCCCGGCTGCTGCGCGGCGCTGGCGCTGACATCAACCAAGCCACAGAGCACGGTGCCACGCCGCTGTACATCGCGTGCCAGAACGGCCACCTCGAGTGCGCCTGGCTGCTCCTCGAGGCTGGCGCAGCGGTAAGCCAAGCCAATCAGGACGGCGTCTCGCCGCTGCTCATGGCGTGCTACAAGGGTCACCTCGAGATCGCCCGGCTGCTGCGCGACGCTGGCGCGGTGATCAACCAGGCGGATGAGGACGGCACCACGCCGCTGTACATGGCGTGCCAGAACGGCTACGTCGAGATCGTTCGACTGCTCCTCGGGGCCAGCGCGGCGGTCGACCAGGCCGAGGGGGACGGCTGGACGCCGCTGTCCATCGCGTGCTGGAACGGCCGCCTCGAGTGCGTCCAGCTGCTCCTCGAGGCCAGCGCGGCGGTCAACCAAGCCAAGGACGGCGCCACGCCGCTGTTCATCGCGTGCCAGAAGGGCCACCTCGAGATCGCCCGGCTGCTCCTCGAGGCCAGCGCGGCGGTCGACCAAGCCAAGCAAAACGGCGCCACGCCGCTGTCCGTCGCGTGCGCGGGCGGCCACCTCGAGATCGCCCGGCTGCTGCGCGACGCTGGCGCGGCGGTCGGCCAAGCCGGTGAGCAAGGCGTCACGCCGCTGTACATGGCGTGCCAGGAGGGCCACCTCGAGTGCGCCCGGCTGCTCCTCGAGGCTGGCGCGGCAGTCAACCAAGCCAGGGACAACGGCGTCACGCCGCTGCTCGTTGCGTGCTACCTCGGCCACCTCGACGTCGCCAAGCTCCTCTCCTCCTACGGCGCCTCCCGCGCCGCTACGCCCTTTGGCACGCCCGAGGAGGTCGCAAACCGCCTAGGCCACGCCGACCTCGCCGCCTGGCTGGTCGCCAGCCGCGGCTGGACGCCGCTCGCGCACCTTGAGACGCTCACCGCCGCCCGCGCCCTCTCCCTTCTGCGCAGCGGCGCAAGCCTGCACGAGGGCGAGCCGACGCCGCTGCGGCGCGCAGCGGGCGGCGAGGGCGAGGTGGCGGCGCTGGTCCGGCGGGCGGCGGCGCCGTGGTCGCCGGCAAGCCACTCGCTCTTCCCCGCGGCGGCCCGCGCGCGGGCGGCGCTCCTCATCCTCTCGATCTACGAGATCCACGAGCGGCACGAGCTCGATTCGGCAGGAACCACGAACGGCATCGCGGCGCTCGACTTTGTCGCGTGCGTGCTGCGCTTCGCGATCACGCGCGAGACGGAGTAGGGGAGCACTGCAGTGGCCCTGCTCTCACTTTAGAATTTTAGAATTTTACAAGAGTGCCTCCATTGGACGACAGGACTGGCGCGCACTGGGGAGGACCTGGCGGGAAATTCTTTTTCATCACGGTTTCACAACCGTCTTTCAGCCCCCCGGCGCCACCTTGCCGCAGTTTGTGTGTACTTGTTACGTGAAAACCCGCCCACTGGGACCGCTTGTGTGCTGCCTGCGCCCTATGTCCGCCAGCGTGGAGCTGGGAGAGGCCAGCGAGGCGCCGACGGGTCTCAACCGCTTCCAAAAGGTGGTGCGCATGCAGCAGGCGCTGCACCGGGCCAGCTCGGAGGCGGGGATGAGCTCGCAGGCTCCTCCGTCGACGCTGCTCAAGCGAGCGGGCGCGCCATCGATGCTGATCAACCTCGCCCTCGTCGAGGAGCGGCACGGCAAGGGCTCGTGGCAGTACCGCTTGCTCGCACTGCAGAAGACGCGACGGTACACGGCCGCCTTCATCGCGCTGCTGCTGTGCGACGCGACCGCCGCCATCCTCGGGCTGCTCCTCTCGACTGCCTACCCTCCGTGCGTCAACATCAAGGCGCTCGCCAGCTGTCCCGCCAACAGCAGCACAGTCACCGTCATAGACGACGGCGTCATCACAAGCACCACCACCACGAGCGACGTCGAGCCGGAGCCGAGCTGCAGCGAGAGCGGGTACGGCGCGTTTGCCGCCGCCATGCTCGCAGTCACAGTCATCTCCATGCTCTCCATCGTTACCTTCCTCGCCGAGTCGCTCCTCGTCTCCGCGGCGCTCGGCCCGCTACTGCTCCGCACCTCCCGCTCCTTCCGCCTGTGGACCGTGCTCGACCTTCTCATCCTCACCTTTGCCCTCGGCGTCGAGTCGTACCTGTTGCTCGTCAAGCACCCCACCGCGTCGGAGCGCGCCGTCCACACCTCCTCGCCCGCCCTCGTCCTCCTCTCCCGCGGCTACCGGTACGTCCTGCAATCTCGCGCAATCTCGCGCAATCTCGCGCAATCTCGCGCGACCTCGCGCGACCTCGGATAGGTACGTCCAGCTCGCGCGCCGCTCGTACACGATCTTGCGCCGCGTGCACCACACGCGCAAGTCGGGCCGCGACCTGATCGAGGGCGGCGAGGCGCAGCGCGCGCGGAGCGAGCTCGACGGCGCGCTGGAGGAGCGGCGGAACGAGCTGCTCATCGCGAGGCAGGAGAGCGGCGAGGGGCGCGTGCACCCGTCGAAGCTCGTGCTGCAGGTCTGCGCCGACATGCTCCTCTCCGTCAGCCGCGAGGTGGGCAGCCGCGAGTGGGACGAGGTGCGGGAGCTGGCGGCAGCGGCGGGCATCCGCGCGCTCGACGGCTTTGTGGAGCGGCTTCTCAAGCGGCGGCTGCTGCCGCTGTACTCGCGGCCAGAAGGCTTCTACGAGAACGACTCGAACCTAGCCAACACGCTCTTCCAGGCGGTCAAGTACAAGGAGAGCATGGGCGCGTGGCCAGAGGGCCTCGCCGCCCTAATCAAGGACGCAAACACGCCCGACTCGCTGCGCGGCGTCCTTCGGATGACCCACCTGCAGGCCAGCCTCGAGATCCGCCGAGATCCGCCGAGATCAGCCGAGATCAGCCGAGATCCGCCGAGATCAGCCGAGATCCGCCGAGATTGCGTCTCTGCGGATGACCCCCCTGCAGGTCATCCTCGACGACCTCGGGCCCGGAGGGTACGGCCCTCTTGCCCTCGTGGTGCGGGCGAGCCGCTGCTTGCGCACGCTTGACGTCGACTGCTCCGACTCGAACTTGTGGCGCAGCTCGGGCAAGGAGGCCTTCATCGAGTCCCTCGCCGAGAGCAGCACGCTGCGCCAGATCGACCTCTCCACCTCGCACGTGCCGCCCGACCTGCTGCACAAGCTGTGCGCGCGGCTCGCTTGTGGCGGCGAGGGCGTCGGATCCGAGTGGGAGGCCGAGTGGGAGTCGGCGTCGCACAGGGAGGGCGAGGGCTCGCGGCCGCAGGCGAGAGTAGCCGAGATCCGCCGAGATCCGCCGAGATCCGCCGAGATCCGCCGAGATTCGCCGAGATCCGCCGGGGCAGTCGGCGCTTCCTCCCACAGCCCTCGACGGGTGCGACGGCACTGTGGAGTGTCTTTGCCGCTTCACCGGCACTTGTCGGACCCTTCGTGGCCGCCCTGGCCGCCGCCCCTTCACCCCCTCCCATCTCCCCGCGGCCGCAGGCAAACGGGCGGAGGCAGGGAGCGGGTGGGGGCGGGTCCCCGTTCCGAGCAGTCGCCCTGCCGGGCCGCAGCGGCGCGCGCTCGCGCGGCGGCGGCGACGCGTCGCGCGGCGGCGACGCGTCGCCGGCGCCTCCAGCGTCGCCCACGACGCCCTCCTCGCGGCACTCGAGCAGCAGCAGCCGCCGGGGCGAGCGGGGCTGGCGGGCAAAGATGGGCGGCGGCGGCGGCGGCGCAGTCGCGTCCGTCCGCCCCGCCCCAGCGGTAGCGCTGCCTCCGCGCGTCGCTCAGATCGAGGCCGTCTCGCTCGCCGGCAACGCTGTGCCCGGCTGCGGCGCCTCGCTCGCGCTGCTCCTCGAGCAGTGCGGCGCCCTCACCTCCCTTGACCTCTCGCGCACTTGCCTCACCGAGGCCGACGGCGCGCTCGTCCTTGCCTTGCCATCCTCGAGCCTCGGGCTCGGGGGGGGTAGTGATCTCGGCTGATCTCAGGTCATCACACACACCTCTAGGCGCGCTCGTCCTTGCCGCCGTCGCCAGCCGGCACGCACGCGACGCGAGGCGCGCCGCCGAAGCGCAGCGGTCGACGCAGGGCGCGCGGCTGCCCGAGGGGTGGCCTGCCGCCCGCCACGCGCCGCCGGCCGGAGCGTCCGCGGAGGCGTCGAACGCTGCCAAGCCGCTGCAGTGCGTCGTACTCGACGTCGCGGCGGTGCCGCCGGAGGAGCGGGGGCGGCTGCCCGCCGCGGTTGCGGCGGTCGAGGGCGCCGCGCCCCGCCCGAGACGGCCCGAGATCACGCGAGATTGCCCGAGGTTCACCCCGAGATCCCTCGAGATGCCTCGAGATGATAGGCGACGAGCTGCTCGACCGGGGCGAGATCCGCAAGGTGATGCGTGAGGTGGCGAAAGCGACCGCCGCCGAGGGCGCGAGCCAGACGCCGCTCGAGAGCCGCTTCAGCAGCTCGGCGACCCTCGCGCCACGCCGCCGGCCGCTTTCAAAAGCGGGGGGGGCGTCGCGAGCCAACGGCGGCGCGTCTGTGAGCAGGCGTCCGACTTGGTGACCGGCACGCTGCTCGAGGCGGCGCACGGCCTGCAGCACTACATGCGCGTGAGCGAGGAGCACATCCGGCAGGGCGTCGCGATGGGCACCGCCGCCATCGAGGAGGAGGTGCGATCTCGCGCAGTCTCGCGCAATCTCGCGCAATCTCGGGTAATCTCGGGTACTCTCGGGGTGCGACGGCTTCCGCTGCTGCGTCGAGGTGCGCGCGCTGGGCGACGCCGAGGCGCTGTCGATGCTGCAGTACATCTTGCACGACCCGGCCTCGGAGAAGGAGTACCCCAACGGCACGCGCGACGCCGGCCGCAGCGGCGAGCGGCTCGCCGACTTCGTCGCGCACGCCGACGCGCAAAAGGCGATGCTCGACGAGCCGCACGTCGTATCTCGGGCAATCTCGGGCAATCTCGGGCAATCTCGGGTAATCTCGGGCAATCTCGGGTAAAAGGCGATGCTCGACGAGCCGCACGTCGTCGCGTTGCGGCTGTACACGACGGTGCCTCAGCCGCGGAGGCGCGGCGTTCTCAGCCGCCGTGGAGCTTTCTCGGACCCTTCCCGGAGCCCTCCCCGCAGGCGGCGTACCGGCACATCAACGGCCCGCTCCGCAAGCCGGAAGGTCCGCACCCGCTGGCGCGCACCACTTGGTTCATCTCGGAGGCCGTGCGCAAGCTGCGCGCGGTGCACGCCGACTCGACGACGGCGACCGAGACCGAGGACCTCTGGAGGGGCATGCGCAACATGCAGCTCTCGAGCGACTTCATCGACAACCGCACCGGCGGCACCGAGCTCGCGCCCATGTCCGCGACCACCGACATGACCGTCGCGGCGCGCTACGGCGCCTCGTCGGGCACGCTGCTCTTCAAGATCCGCGTCGACAACTCGCTCGTGCGCGGCGCGTCGCTGCAGTGGGTCTCCGCCTTCCCGCGCGAGGCGGAGGTGCTCTTCCCGCCGCTGACGTACGTCCAGCCCACCGACAAGCGGCAGACGCTGCTGGTGGGCGCGTGCAACTTCACTGTCATAGAGGTGGTGCCCAACCTGTCGTCGTGACGCATATTAGAGGTGTGCGGTGCCCCGGTGCCCTACCACAGCGAGCCGTACCGTGCCTGTACCGGTGTCGCATGATATGGTTCATGGAGTTGATGGGGGAGATGGGTTGTGATGCTCATGTACGAAGTACGAGATATGTACGATCTACGAGCGTACGAAACAAGGGTGTGACGTGTGTGTGTTGTGTAATCAAAAGTCAGTTCTGGACACTGTGGAGCGTCACATTAAGTACACCGACGGATCTGTAGACTGTACGGCTTTGCACATTGCAGAGCAGTGCGGCAGTGCCAGTGGAGCGGGGTGCAAGCACAAACAAGAGAGTGAGAGAGAGCGTACTGGATGACTGTACAGAGTTGTGCGGCACGGGGTAGAGATCATGTTATCTCTCTCAGACATGCGGAGCGCGCCGGCGGTACAGAACATGCCATGGGGGTGGGGCAGAGCTACTGTAGGGTTGAGCATGCCGCAGACGCGCAGAGCGGGCGATGAGAAAGGTGGGAATTTGCCGCGAGAGCCGCCGGCTAGCGCACCGCCGTCTCAACGCGTTGTGCATCCAAACGAAGCCACGACTGCTCTCCTGCTCCGACTGCAATCCAAGCGCTCGGCCGGTCCCGCGACACCCGCCTCATGGCTCTCCCCGCTGCACCACCTTGATCAAGTGATGGCCGAACTGCGTCTTGACCGGGCCTAAGATCGTGCCGAGCGGCTCGTCCTCCACGACTTTGAAGACGGCCTCGTCGAACGCCGGCACCATGGCGCCGCGCTTGAACTCGCCCAGGTCGCCACCGCGCTCGGCCGACTGGCAGGCGGAGAACTTCTCCGCCGCAAACTCAAACGTGAAGTCGCCGCCTTCGATCTTTGCCTTTAGCCCGTTCGCCATCGCCTCGGAGTCGGGCGAGCTCCCCTCCGGGTAGGCGTCGAAGGACAGCAGGATGTGGGACGCCCTCGCGATTCGGTCGTCTTTCGAGTAGCCCATGACCTTGCCCATCGCCTTCCCGCCAAAAGCACCCGAGACGCCGTCGGAGAGGCCGACGACTATGTTGTCGAGCAGCCCAGCCCGCGGAGCAGCGCAGCGCGGCGCTACTGTCACTGGCAGTATCGGAGGCGAGAAGGCGAGCGCGAGGCAAACGAGATGCATCGACTGCGGAGGCGATGAAGCGCACAGGAATATATGTACGAGGCCCTCTACCGGCGCCCTACCAGAGGAACAGCGTTGGCACCAAAAAAAGAAAAAATATTCATCCGGGCCGAGCCGTGCGATGACCAAGCTAGACCGTGGCCCTTTCCCTGGCAACGCCACAACACCGCGAACAGGTATCTCTCTCGTGGGGAAAGGGCGCGACCCGCTGCTGACATGCAGAAAGAGCCTTCGCCCTCTGGCCCTTACTAGGCCTGGCCCTTCTTCTTGTTGCACGGGCAGCATGCGCAGCATGCGAGGAAGATGGAGCAGTAGAGGATGGCGCCCACGACGAGGAGAAGGCCCACGGCACCGCCGACGGCTGCTCCCACGACCGCGCCGGTGTCGGTGACGCAGCAAACGTCGTTCGCGTTCGCCCAGAACGGTGAAAGGCACACTTCTTCGTCACGAAGGTAGGCGAGCATGGGATCGTTCGCCTTAGGCGTGTCGGCGAATTCATACCAGCAGTGCGACTTCTTCCAGAAGATCCCGCAGGAGCCGTGGTTCTACCGATGGGGAGGCGGTGCAGGAGTAAGAGTCGCGTACGGGAGTTTTGCCGAGGTGAGAGTCAACTTAGAGGGGGAGGCCGAGCGCCGGCGCGCGTGCAGGGAGGGCCGTACGCCGGGACTCACATAGTCCAAAAGCGACGAGCCATCGGCGCATTCGTCATGGTCCAGCTTGCGGCGGTGGCCTGTGACCGCGAGCGCGACGTGGTCGTCGCCGGCACCGTTCTTCATCACCATTGTGATTTTGCGGGTGAGGTCGACCCAACTGGTCTGGCTGCTTGCGAGGCCGGGCGCCTCGATCTCGTGGCCGTTCGGCACGTCCTTTGCCTGGGCGACGGCGAGGGAGACGAGGAGGATCCTCAGCAACATTAGGTGGCAATTCGTTGATGAGACGACACGCCGTTCACAATCGCCCCTGCCCAGGGACGACGGCAAAGAAACCCAAGGGTGAATCTCCTCATCTATTCCGTACACAAACGAAGGAGAGTTGGTTTAAATCTCTCTCACACTCACACACAAGGTGAGAGGCGCGGGTCTTCGAATGGATGGAGAGCCCGGAGAGCTCCAGGCAGCAACGCAAATGGGACGCAAGATAAGACCGGAGCGCCGAGCCTACTGGCGGGGGAAAGAGGCGCGGGCGGATGGTCGAAGTCCTCAAAAGGTGGCATGAAACGTCGGCATTCCCGACACGCGGCCGGTCCCGCCCGCCGCCCCTTCGCATGGCGAGGAGATGCTGATGGGTGTTTGCTGTGCCCGAAGAGGCACTCGCCGCGCCGGCGGCGGAGGGCGAGGCGGAGGGCGAGGCGGAGGGCGAGGCGGCGGGCGAGGCGGCGGAGGCCCTCGCGCACCTCAAGCTCTCGGAGCTGCGGCAGCGGCTCGCAGCGGCGGGGGTGGACGGGGCGGCCGTCGACGAGGCGCTCGACGAGGCTGCTGAGACACGGGCTCCATCCTGAAGCAGGCGCTCGTCGCTTTGCTGCAGACTCGCTCACGCCCTCGGGCGTCAGAATAGGATCCCGAGCTCTCAAACTCAACTCTCCGGTTGGTTGCTCGCGTTGCAAAACGCGGCTCGCAGGATGCCAGGCGCGGCGGCCGCACGGTTAAGGCCGCGCTCCGCTGCTCTCTCCCTGCCGCGTGCACACTGGCGGCCGTCGGGATGGCTCTGGCGCCATGTAGCGCGCGGGGCGCGCTTTTTTGTTGTGGGGCACCAATCCTCGCTACCCAACGCGGCCGAAGGATATCCACCTCGAGAACCTCGAGAGAGAGTTGCGGGGCAGCACGGAAAAATTGCCGTTTTTTCAGTCTTCACCTCACCGATGCGGTGGGCGCGGGTACGTCAACGGCTTGCTGGCGCGTGGGCAGGGTCGGACGGAGGCTCCGTGTGTGGCATGAGGACGCAGTTCGACGCGGCGGTGGCGGCGGGCGAGCTTCTCGAGCTGCTCGAGAGCTTGCCGCAGGGGCGGTCGAGGCCTCTGTCCGACAGATGTGAGGTTACACCCAACGCGGCAGAAGGATTTCCACCCGAGAACGCCGAGAGGGGTTACTCGCGTACACCCGCACGGGCGAGGCGCGGAGCCCATTCTCGCTAGCTTGGACTCATCCATGAAGCGGTGCAAACCGCCGATAGTTGGCGACACGCCTGCAGCGCCCGCACCGTCAGACACCCTTGCCTGTGCTCCATGGTGCGCACCCAGCTTTGCTACCTACCACTGCACCAAGTGCCAATGTCAGGACTGCCAGTGGTGCAAGCCGAGCCCGCCACCACCACCACTGCCACCCCCCTCGCCGCCACCACCTCCGCCTCTGCCGCCACCTCCTTCGCCGTCGCCTATGCCTCCGCCTCCGCCTCCGCCGCCACCACCGTTGCCACCGTCAAGACCGCCGCCTTCCCTGACGATATCATATTCGGCGACAACCTCAGATGTTGCGAGGGCATCGCCTGTACCACCGCCTGCTGCAGCGGGTTGCTCGACTCCGCTTATCGCTCGACCTTGACAGTAGCCTCACGCTCTTCGATAGGCGCTGAACTCCGCATGCGAGCTGCTTGGCGTTGCGCCGCATGGCAAAACAGTTCACTGTGTGACAAATTGCATTGTGGTCGAGGACGATACTAAGAAGAGCCGAGTGCTTCACAGCCTTGTTATTGAGAAGAAATTACGTCGTATGGCGCTGTGCGCTGGTCTGTGAGAGGTTGAGGTGCGAGCCCTGGAGGCCCTGGGAATGGGGGGAGACTACCCGCGGGCCTAGAAGGCCCGCGCGCAGGGGGGTGGGGCATTGAGACCGGTCATGAATGAGTGCGCGACACGCATGTTGCGAGCAGCGTTGTTGATGTTCTGCGCGTCGCCACAGACGGCGGCGCGCGAGAGCTGTTGCGAGTGGTGCTGGACAAAGCCCCGGGCGCTGCCGGAGGCTGTGCCGTACTCGCAGAGTGTGGGTAAACGAAAAAAGTAGCGCCCAATTCGTCTACGTACGGCTTAGTGAGTGATTGGGGTGGCCTCAGGCATCCCCAAGGGAGCCTCTGCGGTGCCACATAAGCAGCTTAGTGATTGTCGAGACTAAACCCGCACCGACCCGCGTCGCGCACCGACCACCGTCGCCTGTGAACCGGCTTGTATTTTAAGAATTCCTCGCCGCCCCTTGGGTTGTCTTTTCTTTTTCTCACTTTCTTTCTGGGTGTCGCGTGTCGCCGACTGGCGGACTGCGCACTCCAAGACCAAGTGCTCCAAGACCAAGTGCTTCGCGGAAAAACTTGGAGCACTTGGAGTGCAGTCATTAACCGCACATCCAGGGGCAGGGCCGGGGAGCTATAAGAAGCGCACCCAGCGGGCCGGATGATTGGCATCGGGTTACGGGCTAGAGAGCCCTAGCCCCGGGGGTGCGCGTTCGCAGGGCAAGGGCTGTAAAGTAAACACGGGTCTCCGAGGGTTAGTTCCGTGTACCGGGTTTCCCCTTAACTGCAGAACGCCCCCTCTAGCTCTACTCGGAGCTAACCGGGACACATAGTAATGGGAAGGGCGGCCGAGAAGAAGGCGGCGGTGGCGGAGAAGACGGCGGTGGTGGAGAGGAAGGCGAAGGTGAGGGAGGAAGAAACCGGCAGTACGCTCTCCACCCCCACTCACCAAACTCTCTACAGAACTAGTAACACATCATAATTCAGATTTTTCTCGGCCCCCCGCATCACAGCCCGCGGCCTAGAGGTGCCGGAGACAGTGGAGCGTGCATAAATCTCTTCAGTCCCGGATTCGCCTCTCTCGACTCTCCACTCTCGGATACGACATACGTTGGCAGGGCAGGGGGCGGGTAAGCACGTGTACACGCAGAGCCTTTGCACCCTTTCGCCCTTCTCATCACTGCCCCGGCGCCCACGTCTCGATCTTCTTGGGCAGCAGCTGGTTCGACAGGTCCTCTCCGTGGCCTAGGCAGCCGCATTCGCCGTTGCCCCAGGCGAAGGTGGCGCCGTCGGCGGTGATGGCAAAGCTGTGGCACAGCCCAGCCGACACGGCGTTAACGCGCTGACCGGCAAAGGCCTCGATCTTCTTTGGCTGCCACTGCTCCTCCTCGTCGCCGTGGCCCAGCTGGCCGTGGCCTCCATAGCCCCAGCTCCAGACGGCCCCGTCGGCGGTGAGGGCGATGCTGTGCGCGGATCCAGCCGAGACAGCGACGACGCGCCGCCCAGCCAACGCCTCGACCTTCTTGGGCAGCAGCTGCTGCTGCTCGTCGCCGTGGCCCAACCGGCCTTCTTCTCCACGGCCCCAGGACCAGACGGCGCCGTCGGCGGTGAGGGCGAGGTTGTGCTCGGCTCCAGCCGACACAGCGACGACGCGCCGCCCCGCAAAGGCCTCGATCTTCTTGGGCAGCGGCTGGCTCTGCCCGTCGCCGAGGCCCAGCTTGCCGAAGTCTCCATCGCCCCAGCTCCAAACGGCGCCGTCGGCGGTGATAGCGAGGCTATGTACGGATCCAGCCGACACGGCGATAACGCGCTGGCCAGCAAAGGCCTCGATCTTCGCCGGCTGCCACTGGTCCTGCTGGTCGCCGTGGCCCAACCGGCTATAGCTTCCATAGCCCCAGCTCCAGACGGCGCTGTCGGCGGTGAGGGCGAGGCTGTGCGCGAGTCCAGCCGACACGGCGACGACACGCTGGCCAGCGAAGGCCTCGACCTTCTTTGGCTGCCACTGCTCCTCCTCGTCGCCGTGGCCCAGCTTGCCACGGCCTCCACCGCCCCAGCTCCAAACAGCACCGCCGGCGGTGAGGGCGAGGCTGTGGTATCCTCCAGCCGACACGCTCACGACGCGCTCGCCACCCAGCGGAGAAGGAAGGCGGGTCGGCGTGTTGAGCCGCGTCACGCCCTCGCCGTGGCCAAGGAGGCCTGGATTCCACTCCGGCGCAGAGCCGCACGACGAGAGCCGCCCCTCGCCGGCGATGAAAACGCTGAGCAGACCGCCGGCTGCCGCCCTCGCTGGCGGGTTGGACTCGCGCAGCAGCGCCGAGAAGCACAGCCACCGCACGGCACAGCTCTCGCCCTCTGGCTGCGCGGGCAGCTCGTAGCCGCGCTCTTGCGCCCGCAAGCAGATGCCCTCCACCGCAAGTGAGGCGTGAAAGAGCCGCGAGACGGCCGCGACGCGAGCGATGTCGAGGGGGTCGCAGCGAGAGACGACGCGCACGAGGAGCTCCGTGGGGAGGTCGAGGAGGCGGGCGGGCGGCGGCGTGTCTGGCGAGAGAGCGGCGGTGGCGGCGGGTGCGAGGCGGCGCGAGCGGCGGCGAGTGGACATCGAGAAAACGCCGGGGTCGCGATTCCCGTTTCCTGCGTTTCCTTGCATTCGGCACTTATTCCTACCATTCGCTGTCACCGCCAGCCACACACGCCATAGGCTGTGTCGGGTCTTCTCCGACACGATTCCCGACAGCGTCAAGGCGCTCGTCGCCGCCGGACTTGAGGTGGGCTGGGAGGTTACCATCCATCCAGCAGGCTGTGGCTGTGTTCAGCGTGTCGTTGTGACTCACATTGCGCGTCCGGCCACCAGCCCCTTGCGAGGCGAAGCCAATGCGGCGTCGCAGATCTGCGCCATCTAGTCCTCCGAGCGGAAAGGTGGTGATCACCACTTCGTTAGAGCGATTGAAGAGAGGGCGCAATGTTGCAAAATTCTTTTCCTCCTCCGCCGCGCCCGCCAGACACGCTTCGCTCCCACTCTCCTCACGAGCAGCATCACCAACTCATGCCGGCCTTCGTCGTCGGCATCGTCCAGGCGGTTTCGCCGGTCGCCGGCAAGGATAAGCTGCAGGCGCTCGAGGTGGACATCGGCAGCGGCGGAGACCCGCTGACGATAGTCACGAATGCGTCGAACGTGCGCGTCGACAGCCGCGTGGTGGTCGCCACGGTCGGCTGTGAGCTTCGCGACGGGACGACTGTCAGGAAGGCGGCCGTCGGCGGCGTGAGCAGCGAGGGCATGCTCTGCGACGCGCCGATGCTCGGCTGGGTGGGCGGCGGCGCGGGTGCTGCTGCGCTCGTGCCGGAGACCTTCTCCGCCGGCGACGCGCCTCCCGCGGAGCGGCCGCGAATGGGCGGCCCTGCTGCCGCTGCGCCTGCGGCGCCCGCCGTCGAGGTCAAGCCGCTCTTCGAGAAGAAGCTGACCAAGGAGGAGAAGAAGGCGGCCGCCGCGGCCAAAAAGGCGGAGAGGGAGGCCAAGAAGGCGGCGAGAAAGGACGCGGAGGGTGTGGAGGGAGCGATGGCTGAGCTCGCCGTCTCCGGCGAGGCGGAGGGTGAGAACACCTCATAGCGCTCCGCTCGTACCGTGCGATATGCGCGTCACGACTGCAAACTGTCATATGTGTTCTCTGTGCGGGATCGCGTCACACATCTTTTTCTCGGCCGGGCGGCCGGACGCGGGAGCGCACGACGGCGTCGCCCCGCCGCGGACCCCGCGAGCGGACCACACACACACGCCTCTTGCGCGGCTGTCTGGCCTCTCCACGGACGAGGGACACGAGACCTCTCGGTAGGGGGTGCGCAGCGCCCCAAAATCCACCAGTGGGGTGGGATTTCGCGCAAAAGCTTGACTCTGAATAGCTCGCATGTACCTCCTGCGAGCGCTGTGGTCGCCGCAGACTGGCTCCGACTTGACGGCAGCATGGAGGCAGCATGGAGACGGCAGCATGGAGGCATCATGCCTCCATGCTGCCGTCAAGTCGAAATCGACATGCGAGGCGATCTTTGGCCCGCCAGAGGTACATGCGGCGTTTCGGGCGACAAAACAGCGCTGCGACCGCGAAGTGGCGGTGGACATGCTCCCATGTTGCCGACGCGGCGCCGGAGTGGCCGGCGCTGCTCGCCGCGACCACGACGGCTACTCTGATGCTCCGGGCCGACCCGTCCTACCCGACGGTGGCACTCTTCACGTCTCGCTCACGCTGAGAAAAATTCTGAAACGGCGTGCAGCAGAGTCACCGACGAGTCGGTCCGCGTGACTCCTCGTGTCCCGTACCGTTCTCACACATCCATAAACTCACTCTGGCCTCACTGAAGCGATGCACCGCACCCTCTACTCTCGGTCTCGCGCTTGGACCGCGCTGCGGCACCTGCGCTCACTGCCCGGACCAGCCACTTGACTAACCGAGACGTAGAGTCGCAGACACGGGCGTTCGACGCACATCAGGCACGCAGCTCCGCGCTCCGCCCCTTGTTCCTGCCCCTCCCAATGTCCCCCGGCTCCCTGTCCGCCCTCGCGCCTGCCGGGAGCTGCTGCGGCTTGCTGGGCCTGCTCGCAGGACTCTCGCAGATGTTCGCAGAGGTCAACCATGGAAACACGCTCTCTGTTTGGGCTCCCTCGGCTCGGCGAGGCTGCAAGCCTGCGAGCCCGAGCGAGCGCCCGGGACGGCCCCCCCGGCCGCCGGCTCCGCATGCCGGTCATCGACCGTCGAAAGGTCTCTGCCGCCGCCCTGAGCCGCCTCTCAGCAGAGCCAGTCGTGCGGGAACACGCCGGAGCGCAGCTTCTTGCGGCCGTGGAACGTGGGCGCCTCCTTGATGCTGCGCGCCGCGAAGAGCTCGCCGCGCGACGGCTCGGGCGGCAGGTGAACGCCGAGGTTCTGGCTGAAGGTGCAGTACGCCTCGTGCGCGGCGAGCAGCCACCTATTCCCGGGCAGCTGGGGGCGTCAGAGGGAAGGGAGCGGCGATGGCGCGAGGGGCGTGAGGTGGCTGAACCGTGCGACGCCGCGTCGAAACGCAATCAGCACCTTGTCCGAGGGCGGGGTTTTGAGGCACACGTTGAAGAAGAGCGTCGTGCCGGCGTGGGGCTCGGTGGAGACGCTGAGCTTTGCGTAGTCGACCATGGACGGGAGCGCCACCATCGTCGCCTTCTCGCCGGCGGCATGCAGGGCCGCCTTCATGCCCGCCGCCTCACCCACGTCCTGCGGCTGTCGCTGCAGCGAGAGGCTGAGTTCAATCTCGCACTGCGTGAAGGAGGCGGCGGCGGCGGCGGCCAGCGCGGCGGCGGCCGCCGAGCGCGGGTGCCCCGCCTTTGGCTTGCACGCCTCAGCTTCGAGGACTCGTTCGAGGCGTGCCTCCTCGTCGCTCACCCGCTGCTGCTGCGCCTCGTCCGCTGCCTGCTCCGCCGCTGCCTCCTCTTGCAGCCGCTGCTCGTGCCTCTCCTCGATCTCCGCTAGCTGCGCGGCGGACGCGGCGACGGCCTTGGAGGCGGCGGCGGCCTTGGAGGCGGCGGCGGCCTTGGAGGCGGCGGCGGACCCGGCGACCGCGGGAGCCAGCTTTTGTGCGTGCCGCGCCTTCTTGCCGCCCTTGCCGCCCTTGCCCTTCGGCCCCGCCTCGCTGCTCGCCTTGAGCCAAGCGGCCAGGTCGTCGTGCTTGAACGCGCGTGCCGTCTGCATGGGCGTCATGCTGCTGAAGCTCTTGATCTTGGTCGAAGCGCCGAGAGCAACCAGGGCCGTAGCGACGTCGAAGTGGCCGCGTCGGCAGGCTAGGTGTAGCGCCGTCTCGCCGTTCCAGGTCGGCTCCTTGTGGTCCAGCTTTGCTCCATGCGCAGCCAACGACTCCACGATCTCGACGCTGTCGCTGTGCGCGGCGAGGTGCAGTGGTGGCATGCGGCTGGTCTTCACGTTCGGGTCGGCGGCGGCGGCGAGGAGGAGGCTGGCCACTTTCTCGTGTCCACGGAAGCATGCAATGGAGAGCGGATTATAGAGCGGGTCGGCCGGGGATCCGCCGCGAAGGTCGACCGATGCCTTGGACTCGAGGAGCAGCTTTGCCATCGACGCGTTCCCATCGCACGCCGCGAGCATCAGCGGGGTGTGCCCTTCTGGGCCACCGTCGTCTGGCCCAGCCCCAAGATCGAGCAGAAACCCGGCGGCCACGAGCGCGCCCGAGTCGTCGAGAGAGGTTCCGTCCGGGCCGCCACCGGCGAGGAAGGCCAGGGCCGAGGCGGTGGCGCCCACGTTGAGGGCGTCGGCACCTGGAAGTGCATTATCCCGTTCGCCGTTCGTGAGCGTGAGCGTGTGTGTGTGAAGGTCGCTCTGTGCCTACTCTCACAGAGTTCTGGGGCGGCAGGTAGGATGTCGTGCCGGATCACACGGTCCGCGGCGTTGCGCTAAGAGCGAGAGTGCGAAAGGGCGGAGATTCACCGTGGTTGCGCACGAGCGTAGAGAGGAGGGCGTCAGCAATCGGGCAGAATTCGGCGACGGTGCAGCCCACGGCCAAGGCAAAGACTGTGTCGACGCACGGAACCTCGCGAAGTTTTGCGCAGCCGCGCGAGTCTCCCTGCGAGAGCATGCCCACGAGGTTCTCGACTGCAAGCAGATCCTGCACGTCCGCGCAGTGCGTGGGGTACGACTTTGCGAAGACTCCGATCGCGCAGGAGATCTCCTGTGCGCACCGCTCTTGCAGCGCGGGCTCGCATCGGTTCAGCGTGGCCGCGGCGGCGTAGTACAACGTCGCAGCTGTCCTTTGTCTCGCTACGGAGACTTGTACCTCGGCGTCATCGCAGCTGTCGGCGGTCGCGCCGAGCTTGACCCTCGTCAAAACCCTCTCCAGGCGCGACCCGGCGCACTTGCCGTCGGCAGTGTCGAGGTCCATCAGCGCCATCGCTCCTGGCGCTCGGGCAAGGGTCGGCGAGAGCGACAGCGGAAGAGGCAGGACGGCAAGACCAGGCGCCGGTACCCTCTTAAAAAAACCTCTCCGGCCTGTACACACTGTAGTCGGCCCCGTGAACACAGTCTGCTGTGAGAGCCCCTGTGTGAAGAGTGCGGAAGGGGTTGTAAAAAAACTGCTTGCGCCCGCGCTGTGGAGGTCCCCCTCTCCTTGCTGCTTGAGGTATGGCGCGGACGGGGCCGCGGGGCGTGGGCTGGCGCTGGCCGCGCGCGGGCGTGTTGTAAAGGTTCCAGGAATTCTTTGCGAGAGCGCCTTCGTTGTTAATAGTACAAACCCAATGGTCCCTTGCGAGCGGTCCTTCGTTGCAGTCGCACACACGCACACGCCGCGCCGCACCGCACGCCCGCCCACTGCCCCGCCCAGGCGGGAAAGAGATGAGGAGATGGGACAGCAAAGGAGGAGCACAAACACGTATGCGGTATGGGAGGGTTCAGTTGTGCGCCACGCTGCCCGGCGTCTCTCACTTTCCGGGACAGCCCCGCCCTTTTGAGGCAGGAAAGTGACGGCTACCCCGTACGCCCTGTTGCTTCTACCCCGACGCCGACCGCCCATTCCCCCCTCCTCGTTCCCCCCTCGAATTCTCCGGACCCCGACAAGCCGCCCGACGTTGGGCCTCTGCCCCGCACGCCCCCGCCCCTTCTGCCCCTCGTTCACACCCCGGCCCGACACGCACATACAAGACAAACCCGGCGTCCTGCTCTCAAAAGAAAAGAAAAAATCGGAGGGAGCGCGCCACGAATTCTTTTCATCGATGATGGAGGAGCAATCAGAGGTGGAGGCATCGCCGCCACCACCGCCGTCTTCGTCCTCGGAGCAACTGCAGGAGGCATCGCCGCCAGTCTACGTGAGCGTCCGTCCTCCGAGGCGCTCACCGTGGCTGGAGGAGCCGCTCTCCGAAAGCGAGCTGTCCGTCGGAGATGTGCTGTACTACCACGGTGAGAGTTTTGGCAGCTTCGATGGAAATATGCATGTGCATGGCATGCGTGGCGTGGTCCAGGACACCAACCGCTTCAGCATTCTTTTTGATGGGAACGAGAGCGCTACCACATTCAGCGTCGAAGAGCTCAGCCGAGCGCCGCCTCTGTCTTCTGAGGATGCGCAGCTGCGCTGGCTCGCCACCTCAGAGGAGGACGCAGACGCGCAGTACCACTTGGGCACCCTTCTCGCCAGAGGTGTGCCGCCGGCGCTTGCGGAAGCGCGGAGGTGGTATGCCGCGGCTGCGGCGCAGGGACATGCCGAGTCACAGCACGCCCTTGGCCGCCTTCACATGGCAGGCTTCGGCGGGCCGCAGGACTACACAGAGGCGCGGCGACTGATGGAGCTGGCTGCGGCACGGGGACACACAAGGGCGATGTCGGCTCTGCGATTCGCTCTCAACACAGAGCCGCACTTCCGGACCAGAGTCGCGCTCATAGCGACTATCCCTTGCGGCGGGCGCGTCGTATTCTACGACGCGATCGATCCTGCCCACAACTTTGACTCGCACCTTTTGGAGGCGTTCTGCGAAGCGGAGGGCATCCCGGAGCGCTCAATGGCGCGTTTCTTTTACCGAGGCATCGAAATCAGAGAAAGGCCCTTTATCAACAACCACCTTCCGCCGATCCCGGACCTTGCCGTCATCCATGTCACGCTGCAGCACTTGCCGTTGCTCTACGCCGCCACGCGAGGCGATGTGGCCACGCTGCGGTCTCTCTGCGACGCCGGCGGCGACGTGAACCAGTGCGTGGACGGATGCACGCCGCTGGCAGAGGCGGCCAGACGCGGCCACATAGCGTGCATCGAGGTGCTGCTCAAGAATGGAGCGGACCCTACGTTGTCAGCCAGTTGGCACAGAAACTCCTCGCTGCCGCCCCTCATCGGCGGCGTCGTTACGCTGCAGTTGAATGTCGTCAAGCTCCTCTCGGAGTTCGGAGCCACCAGAATCATCCGCGGCGAGAACGCCGTGGAGGTGCTCGAGAAAGAGTTGCGCGATTACGAGTTGCACGACTGGCTGACGCCCAACTTCGTCAGCACGTTCAGCAAGTTGCACGACTGGCTGACGCGATCGCAGCACTGGGCGGAGAGGCTCGGACCTCTCGAGCACGCCGCAGCTTATGGCCGAGTCGCCTCTCTGCGCATCCTCACTGCTGCGAACTTGGAGGCTTGCCGCGAGCACGCGAGCTTGCGGCCGACCGTTGCATGGGAGCACGCGAGCGCCTTGCGGCTGGCATCGGAGGAAGGGCATGCGGCTTGTGTCCGAGTGCTCCTCGACGCGGGAGCCGACTGCAACCGCTTCCGCCCGCTCGCGGCAGCGGCGCGACACGGTCACGACCGCTGCGTCGAGGCGCTGTGTGCGGTCGGTGCTGCAGTTGATCTGGCCGATGAGTCGGGCTCGACGCCTCTGGTGCTTGCTGCGCGTCACGGCCACTCGGGCTGTATTCGAGTGCTCTGCGTGGAGGGCGCGGCTGCGTCATATGGCAGGTCGCTGTTGGTGCTTGCGACTAGGCACGGCCACGCCGACTCCATCCGTGCGCTTCGAGCGTCGGGTGTCGACGATGGCTTTAGTGGAGCAACGCTGCTCTTTCCGGCGATCGCATACGGCTACGACGATTGCGTGCGCGCGCTTCTCAGCACCAACGCTTCCCCCGATTTCTCGCTTATCGGGGTGCAGGCGCTGGTTGAGGAGGTGCGGCAGGCGCTGACGCCGCGCGATCGAATCGAGATGCTCTTCCTTACCGCCGGTTTCCAGAGGCAGCGTGCCGAGCGCAGCACGCTCGCTGCAGCCGACGGGTTCACGCCGCTCTATTTTGCCGCTCTGACGGGCCAGATTGAGTGCTTTCGAGCTCTCATGGAGGCCGGCGCCGCTTGCCGCAGCTGCCCGCCAAGCGCTGTTGACGACGCTGACGGCCCCGATTGCCATCACCACCACCACTGCCACCATTGCGGCGCCACCTTCACGTTCACGACCACCACAACTTATACGACCCTCGAGTCTTACTCGTACTCGGACGAGGACGAGCCGCCGTCGAAGCGCATGGCAGTCTCCGACGCCACCGCGCCTGCGCCCGCGCTCCCCGCGCCCCCCGAGCCGCACTCGCTTAGCGCGATCCCCAACGACCTTCTGCTCCGCATTACCACGAGTCTTGACGACCCGCTCGCTCCAGACCCAAGCGGGCCAGCTGCTGCCACGGCCCTCGCCTCCACGTGCCGCGGCATCCGCGCTGCCATTCCCACGGCAGCACAGGCGCTGCGCCGGTACACGGAAGCGGGGGATTTTGGTCAGCAGATGCACGTGGCTCCTCCAGGCGAGACAGAAAAGCGGAGCCTTTCGCGGGCAGAGTTGGCGCAGATCCGCGAGCTCGACTTGCGCTTCTGCTTGCGCTACGTCAACTTCGATGTGAGGATCGCGAGTGTGCTGACTCACCTCGTCTCCTCCGGCTGCTTCAGTCGGTTGCAGACAATGTCCGGGTACATCCATCCGTTGGGATGGAATGAACCACAGATTGTGAGGGGTGCGATCGCATACGACAGGTTTTGTCGCGGGAAGACATTGAACTTGCCGCAGACGGTTGTCGATCGTAGGGGGGAGGAGGAGAGAAGGCACCGAAAAGAAGCAGACGCTGCCAGCGAGCGCCTCCTTGCCGCTCTGGCAAGGTCTGCGCTGCCCCAGCTGCGAGAGCTTCGGTGGGAGCTCAACCGCCAGCAGGCAGTGTACTTCATGGGGGCTCTTCAGCAGAATCTTGCCGCCCTGCCCGCACTCGAGGTCCTCGACCTATCCGGCGGCTTCATCGACGACGAGGGCATGATCGCTCTGGTTGACGCTCTGGCTGCAGGCGCCTTGCCGCAACTCAAGGACCTGAGACTCAACTACTGCAACGTCGGCGACGCGGGTATCGCCGCTTTGGCTCGCAGCGGCGTGGACGGCACATGGAGCACCCTCGAAGGGTTGTCCTTGCCACAGGACGATTGCCAAAGCATCACGTCTGCCGGCTGGGCCACGCTTGCGGCGGCTCTGAATGCAGGAGCGCTGCCGGCAATCAAGGAGCTGTATCCGGGCGACTGCAATCTAGAGGCGCCTCCCTTTCGAGAAGAGATACATGCGGGCTTGCAATCCGCCATGATTGCGCGAGGCATCGGGGTTTCTGCGAACGAGGAGCTTGCGGCGGTGTGAGAGACGCGAGTGTCAGGGAGAAGAGATGATAGGTCACATTTTTAGGTATATTGTTGGCTTTGTGGTCGGTGTAACTTTCCAGATTCCACGTGTTCCCACGTAATTTCCTACAAATTTTCTTTTCTTTGCTGTGCCATTTGTAGTGCCAGTCCGAGCCAGTCTGCTGTCAGAGGCAGTTGGAATTCTTCTCTCAGGCTAGCCGGTCCAATTCGTTGCGAGGCAATCTTCCCGCAGCACAAGCAGCGGCAGGCGATGCGCGACGAGCTGGGCGATCGCGAGGAGGGTCCCACAAATAGCCGCTTTGGGGGGCGGGACGTCATCGCGGTGAGCGACTGGCGGCAAAACCTGAGCGCACTCGCAAACCTGTGTCGCTGCAACCGCATCTCACACAATCATAGGCCAAGCTGCAGGTCGCGGCGGCGATGGTGTACAAGTGCGATGGCGAGTTGATGCCGACCAAGTCCCCAAAGAACAAGCTCAAGGCCGAGCCCGACGAGCCCGCGGTGCCGACCTCGGTCGTCGCGGCCGAGCCCAAGGCTGTGCTGGGCGCGGCGGCGATCGTCCACGGTCGGACCCCTCCTTCCCGCCCCCACCGACGCCGGCATGAAGCTGCCAGTGAAGGCCGAGGCCGCGGTGGTCAAGAAGAACACGCTGATGGCCGTGCGGCTGCGGCCCAAGGGTGCGTATCCTGGCCCCTCGAGTCTATCGAGCTCCCCTCGCGCAAGGACCAACCACATTTCTGACTCCCACTCCGATCATTTGCCTCCAGGTCATGTTGTTGCTCAGGTCCACTCTCTCTTCGAACACTCGTGCCTCTACGGATGTCACTGCTCCCACACGTAGCACTTGGAGCAGCACTTGGAGCACTTGGAGTGCAGTCAGTAAAAGAAAGAAAGAAAGAAGACACGCAACCCAAGGGAGGGATGGGAGGACGGCACGCCGCCACCACACAGGGATTTTAAGGAGAGGTGTGTGATGCGCTAGCCGTCGCCCACCCTAGGGAGTCTGCCTCTTCCTATCTCTCTTCGCAGTCTCTCGCCGCTTCTCGCTGCAACCTTCATGCCATGCCATGCCAGTCAGTAACCTCACATCCAGAGCAGGAACTTGGAGCACTTGGAGTGCAGTCATTAACCGCACATCCAGGGCCGGGGCGGAGCTCAGAAGCGCACCCAGCGGGCCGGATGATTGGCATCGGGTTGCGGGCAAGAGAGCCCTAGCCCCGGGGGTGCGCGTTCGCAGGGAAAGGGCCGTAAAGTAAACACGGGTCTCTCCGTTCGAGAGTTTTTTCACTCCGAGGCAAATTTGCCTCTGTGACGAGATTGACAAAATTCGAAAACCTCTCCCACGACACTGGGCGCGAAAAGAAATGCGAGCATGTGATCGAACAGCCCGATGGGGCTATGGCGGGGTTCACCCACACGACAGGGTCCCAGGGACCCCCCTCTCGTAAAAGTGAAAGAAAGAAAACAGACAACCCAAGGGAGGGATGGGAGGACGGCACGCCGCCACCACACACGTAATAAATCAGTCAGTCAGTGTTACACACGTCCTAGCATGGACGACGGGGCACACGCACTCGCGGAACACAGGGCATTACACACGAGGCGTTGTGTGCGTTCTCAGGGAAAGGCATCACCACAGACAAATGGTATAGTCAGAGGGGCAGCAGTGGGGACCCCCACTCACGACCCCGCGAGCGCCTGTAGCGAGATGTCCATCGCTGCATTTAATAAATAAATAAATAAAACGGGCACGCCAAACGAGGGGTGGGAGAAGGACAGGGTCACCACCTGCACGAGCAGGATCTTGTAAGCTGAGGACGATCAGGGACACAAGGGAACGGGAGCGGGGAGCGCATCGCGACACGGAGGGGGGCTGGGCAGGGTTCACCCACACGACAGGGTCCCAGGGATTCCTCTCTCGTATAGGACAGGTTGCACCCGGCGGCACGGGGGCAGGCGCGGGCCTCCTACTGGTTGCGCTCTCCTAGTTCTCCTGCTCCACACACGTATAGGCAAAGTTCCTACCCGGGGGGATTTTTTTTCACTGCGGCAAATTTGCGCATCTCCCACCGACCCTAGCCATGTTGAGCATCGCCGCGACCTCCCTGCCCGCCTTCACGGCTCCGCTGCTGCCGCATGCCACGCGCGTCGCCGCGCCGGTGATGAAGGCGGAGGGCGAGATCGGCGTGACGCCGCCGCTGGGCGTGTGGGACCCGCTGGGCTGCCTCGCGGAGCCGGTGGACTACCCGCGCCGCGACTACCGCCGCTACGTGGAGCTCGAGATCAAGCATGGCCGCATCGCGATGCTCGCGACCGTCGGCGTCCTCACCACTGAGGCCGGCTTCCGCTGGCCCGGCTACCTCTCCAAGTCGCTGGACCTCAAGTTCGCCGACCTGCCGGGTGCGCGCCGCCCCGCCGGCGCCGGCGAAAGAGGGCTCTCCGGACAGGGCGAGAGGGGACCGCGCAACGCCGAAGCTCACACTCCACCGCCCCGTCCGCCGCCGCGACGGATCGGTCCCTTCCCGCAGCGGCCGCCTCCCACGCGACGCATGCCCTGCCCGGCTTGACGCGGCGCCGAGCTCCGCCCGTGCCGACAGGCGGCTGCTTTGACTCGTACAACGCGGTGCCGGCGCTCGGCTGGCTGCAGATCGTCGGCTTCGTCATCTTCCTCGAGCTTGCCTACGGCGCGCCGCGCCCTCCCTCTTCCCGCGCCTCTCCCGCCCTCAATCCCCTCTCTCGCTGCTTGCGGGCGGAAATGATGCTGAGCCAGCCCCCCTCCCCCCCCCCCCCGCCCCCCCACACCCCCCTTCCCCCCCCCTCCGCACCCCGCAGGCGCCACGGACCCGTCCAAGGAGCCGGGCGACGTGGGCGGCATCTCGTGGGTGCGGTACGACGACCCCGAGACCAAGAAGTTCAAGCTCAATGCGGAGCGCAACAACGGCCGCGCCGCCATGATGGGTGCGCCCGCCGCCCCGCAGACGACACTTCCGTGACACTTCCTCGAGACACCTCTGAGACACGTCCGTGATGGGTGCGGGCCCGCCCCCGCAGACGACACTTCCGTGACACACTTGCAAGACACCGCCCTCTCGCGCCGCCCACGGGTGGGTGCGGCTGCTGCAACTGCGTCAGGGCCCCCGACTGCCGTCCCGATGCCGCCGCCCAAAGCGCTCCCACGTCTTGGACAGTTCTTAGACCTTGCTGGCTGCATCCTTTCGCGACTTACCCCCCCCCCCCCCCCTCCCCCTTCCTATCCCCCCCCTTCCTATCCCCCCCACCCCCCCACCCCCCCACACACACACTCTCGCAGGCATCACGGGCATGATGATCCACAATGCGCTCGGCGTGGACGCGCTGTTCCCGATCGTGCAGTGAGCATCAGGCTCTCCACCAGCCGAACTTTGCTTGGCCACCTCCTGTGTCCCACGCTGCCCCCAACGGCGCCCGGCGCGTCGCGCGCGCTTTGCGCGTGCGCTTCCGCTTTCGCCGGCGACGCCGCGACGCCTTTTCCGCTATTGTTGGACGCGCACGGGGGGGCCGTGACAGCCTGCGGAAGTGGCCACACAGTGTTGCGTTGTGGTCTCTTTTCTCTCGTCCTTTTTTAGATGTCGACATTTTGCAGCCCCCGCCGTATGGGTGGACGCTTAATCCGCGCGGTCCACCCCCCCACCCAAGACCCGGAACCCAAACGATGGCAAAAGAGCTTTCGAGCTGCTCCGACGCGGCAGTGCAAGCGGCGAAGCGTGGCGAAGAGGTGGCGGTGCTGGCGTGGCTCGAGCAAGGCGAGGAGGAGGCAGTGTTGGCGTGGATTGACAGCGGCGGGCGGGCCGACGCGACGTACGAGAGAGACGGCGTGAGCGGCATCACGCTGCTGATGGGCGCCGCCCGCTACGGCCACGAGCGGGTGGTCGAGCTGCTGATACGGCACGGCGCGGAGGTCAACCAGCAGGACAGCGACGGCAACACTGCGCTGATGTACGCCGCCGAGAACGGCCACGAGCGGGTGGTCGACTTGCTGATTCGGCACGGCGCTGAGATCAACCTGCAGTACAGCAGCGGCAACACTGCTCTGATGTACGCCGCCGAGAACGGCCACGAGCGTGTGGTCGACTTGCTGATTCGGCACGGCGCTGAGATCGACCTGCAGAGCAGCACCGCCTACACCGCGCTGATGAGCGCCGCCTTCAACGGCCAAGAGCGGGTGGTCGAGCTGCTGATGCAGCACGGCGCGGAGGTCAACCTGCAGAACAGCGACGGCGTCACCGCGCTATTGGCCGCCGCCCAGGAAGGCCGCGAGCGGGTGGTCGACCTGTTGATACGGCGCGGTGCTGAGGTCAACCTGCAGGACAGCGACGGCGGCACCGCGCTGATGCTCGCCGCCCAAGGGGGCCACGAGCGGGTGGTCGACATGTTGCTGCAGCGCGGCGCGGAGATCAACCTGCAGAGCAGCAACGGCAGCACCGCGCTGACGCTCGCCGCCCACCACGGTCACGAGCGGGTGGTCGACTTGCTGCTGCAGCACGGCGCTGAGGTCAACCTGCAGAACAGCAACGGCACCACCGCACTGATGCGCGCCGCATTCGGAGCCCACGAGCGAATGTTAGAGCTGTTGCTACAGCACGGCGCGGAGATCAACTTACAGGACAGCAAAGGCGGCACCCCGCTGATGGGCGCCGCCGAGAACGGCCGCGAGCGGGTGAGCGAGTTGCTGATGCAGCACGGCGCGGAGATCAACAAGCAGAACAATGACGGCGGCACCGCGCTGATGATCTCCGCCCAGCTTGGCCACGAGCGGGTGGTCGACCTGCTGATTCGGCACGGCGCTGAGGTGAACTTGCAGAACAGCAGCGGCTACACCGCGCTGACGACCGCCGCCGGCAAAGGCTACGAGCAGGTGGTCGAGCTGCTGCTGCAGCACGGCGCTGAGGTCAACCTGACGGACAGCGGCGGCGGCACCGCCCTGATGCTCGCCGCCTACAGAGGCCACACCGCCGTCGTGCTCCGCCTGCTTCGGGCTGGCGCAGATGCAAAGGTTGACGGCCTGTCCGCGCTGCATATCGCCAAGGAGCAAGCGCTCAAGGTGCTAGCTACTGCCGACGCCGCCAGTGCTCCTGAAACGGACCACGCCGGGTGCGTGCGCGCTCTCACGGCGCACGCAGCGGCGCTGAGGGTGGCGGAGGCGGCCGAGAAGGCGGCAGAGAAGGCGCTCGAGGCCAAGGGGCGGCGCGAGCAGCGCGAGCGGGAGGAGGCGGCGGCGGCGCGAGAGCGCGAGCAGGCGGCACGCCAGCGCGAAGCAGAGCGAGTGGCGGACGAGGCGCGCCGGGCAGCGGATGCGGCGGCGCTGGAGGAGCAGAGGCGAGCCATTGCGGCGGAGGCGGAGGCGAAGCTGGCCGCTGAGCGCGCGGCAGCAGAGGAGACGCTGCGGGCGAGGGAGGCGGAGAGGCGAGCAGCAGAGGAGGCGCAGCGAGAGGAGCAGCGGGCGGCTGCGGCGGCGCGCAAGGCCGCTCAGGCAGAGGCGGCGCGGCGCGAGAAGGAGGCTGCGGACAGGAGGGCGGTGGAGGAGAAGGCGAGGCGGCGCGCAAAGGCGGCGGAGGCAACGGCGGCCAAGAAGGAGGCCAAGGCGAAGAACAGTAAGGCCAAGAAGGCGCCGTCTGCTTTCGCGCTCGAGGAGGAGCGGAGGGCGAAGGCTGCGGCAGAGGTTCGCGCACAGGAGGAGAGGGCGGCGCAGCTGGCTGCTGAGCAGGAGTCGGCGAGGCGAGCGGAGCGCGAGGCGGCAGAGCTAGCGGGTGCGGCAGAGCGGGCGGCGCTGCGCGAGGATGCGGAGCTGGCAGAGGCGTTGCGCCGGTCAGAGATAGATGCGGAGGAGGAGGCACTGGCGCGTCGGGTTTCGCGGTGCGAGGAGGCGGTGAGCAGCGAGTCGACCGGCGGCCGGGACTTGCCGTGTCGTGTCGAGCGGCTGGAGGCGAGCCTCGGCGCGGCGACCGAGGGCAGCCTCGAGGAGCGGGTCGGCGCCATCGAGCGCTTGATCGGGCCAGAGGCGGGAGAGGCGGCGGAGCAGCATCTGCCAGTCACTGAGCCGTTTGCTGCCGTCTCACTAGCGGACGCCGGCCTCGACACGGGGCGGCCGGCTGCCCCCGAATCCACGATGGGGGGAGAGACCACGTGCATCGTGTGCTTCGCGAGAGTCAAGTCGCATGCTGCGGTTCCGTGCGGGCACTTGTGTGCTTGCGGGCCATGCTCTGAGCTGATGCAAGAGTGCCCTTACTGCCGCGAGCCAGTGATGATGTGGATGGTTCCGCGTCCGGTCTAAAGTAGAGAGATAGAGCGGATGGCTCTTGCGGTTCCGGCTTCCGCGGCACGCACCAAAGGCGTACGTCTTGGTACGATTTACCGATTCGAGTATCGAGACTCGTGCACAGTGACCAGTGTTACGCGTTACTTTTGTTCGGTTGCGCGCAGCTCAACATACTCTCTAAGGTAAGGTGACGGCTCGTTGACGCGAAACGACCCCAATGTCCAATGAATCCCCCCGACATATAGATATGCATAATAAAACGAAGCGTATATGGTGCTCGAGCTCAGAAGCTCACGCGGCGGTTGTAGAACCAACCTCTCCGTCCACAATCGTGACGCCCCCTAGACGGCTAGTTTCCCGGCGACCCAGCAGGGCTGTCAGCCGCGTGTCAGCTCAAAAGCTGACGCGTGGCGAGAGCCGGTCGTAGCGAGTGCCACCGGGCGGCGCGTGGCTATCGGCGCCGGCGCGCACGAGCGCGGCCATCCACCCCTCTCGCTCTTGCTCGGTGAGCGCCTGCAAGACAAATGGGGCGAGAGCGCAAGGCGGTGGCGTGTGTGCGCCTGTCTCTGCTGTAGACCACACACACCACCCGATCCGAGAGAACCCGAGACCACACCACCCGAGATGACCCGAGATGACCCGAGATGGCCCGCGAGAGATTTTTCCGAGATCAGCGCCTGAAGGACGATGACACGCCGCCGCTCTCCCGCGCGCCGCGCCTCGCCCGCGCCGCTCGCCGCCGCGGGCAGCAGCGCGAGACGGAGGGATGGTGCGTCGCCGGCGCCCGGCTGGAGCAGCGCATGGCGAAGTAGGCGAAGCCGCGCGGGCCCTGCTGGCAGGGCGGCGAGAGAGAGGGAGAGAGGGAGGGAGGGAGAGAGAGAGAGAGGGAGTTAGGGGGCGAGCGGGCTTTGGCAGGGGCTTGGGGATGCGGACAGGTTGCTGGGGGTGTGCGTGTGGTGAGAGAGGGGCGTGGCGCGAGGGAGAGACGCAGTATGTGCGTGACTGCGTCGCAGGACTTGTTCTATGCGTGCGCAGTGCGCGCGTCGCTCTCCTTGCGCGAGAGAGCGTCGACGTCGGAGAGATGCCACATGAGGAGGGCGCGCCTGAGTAGCCGAGATCAGCCGAGCTTGGCCGAGCTTGGCCGAGCTTGGCCGAGCTTGGCCGAGCTTGGCCGAGCTTGGCCGAGCTTGGTCGTACTCGAGCTTAGCCACGTGAGTGTGTGAGAGGAGAGCAAAATAACCGGACAGTCGAAGGCCGCCTCAAGCCGCGAATCTCGGCTCTCGGCGAATCTCGGCGAATCTCGGCGAATCTGGCCTCTCTCCGTCGGAGCCGCGCGAGGCCGCCAGCGTCAAGAAGCGCCGCCGGAGGGCGGTGTTGGCGCCCCCCTTCTTGCGCAGCCAGCCCGTGTGCACCACCGCCGCGGCGGGGGCGGCGCGTGTCTGCGGAGGAGGAGGAGGTAGGCCTCCGCTGCCTAGGAAGTGCCTCGCGGAAGTGTCTAGGAAAGGCCTCCGCTGCCCGCGCGCGTCCTTCTAGGCGGCCACGTGGCCGGGGAGGGGGGCGAGCTGGCGGGCGGGGGGCAGGCCGATCTCGGCGGGGACGGGAGGCTGGGCGATGGCGCCGAGGGCGGTCGTCGGCGGAGGAGTACGACGACGGTTTGCAGACGAGCTCTGACGATGTGAGCGCTGTTGTAATATGAAGTGTATTTTCGGTACAGACGATTCGATGAGAAAATGGAAGAGTCTCGCGCAGTCCGCTCTGCTGTGGCTACACCCTCACTTAGCCACAGCAGAGTACTTTAGCTCTTTAGCCGTCCGACCTCATGCTCCGGCGAAGGACTATCTCGCTGCCTTTCACCGGCGCACACTCCTCGAAAGAACGAGCCGACCATGGTGGAGGCCGTCTCTCCTGCCCTTCTGGCCGCCGCCTCGGCGCTCGTTGACGCATCCACAGTCGCCATCGCATCAACCAGGCCTTGTACTTTTGTTCCGAGGTCGGGCTGTGCAAGCCATGCGTTGATGCCCTTGACGATGATGTAAGCTATCCCATCCACGACAGTTGGGTGTGAGAGGATGGCACCGACGGCCCTGCCAACTGCTTCGGTGAGCGCAGCGGGCGGCAAAGTGGACCACACGCCAACCAACGTCGCAACGGCCAGTGGGAGAGCGGGAGCACCGGCGGAGAAGGCGATGCTGGCTGTGAGGGTGATGCCGGCTAGGATCATATGTAGTTGTCTCTGGATCAATGCCCGAATTTGGCAGCGACAGGGCGCTGCCTTGTCGGCGAGCGCGGTGTCGGCGAGCGCGGAGGCAGGGTGGGAGGGATGCCGGACGTCCTTCAGGACAAGGCGTTCCGATTTTCTTTTTAATCCGAGTACACGCGTCATCCGCTGTGAGCAGGCGACATGTCCGAGTCAGTTCCGGCTCGCGCTCAACCAACGCCGACGTGTGCGCCACCACCAAGATGGCGGAGGGGATCAACGCCTTTGTCGCCGAGACGCTCAAGCTGGAGCAGGCGCTCCGCGCGAAGCTGTGAGCGGCCGGGAAGTGGCACTGTGAGGCGTATAGATTGGTCTGTCCGGAAGCGGCGGAGGCGTGGGTCAGGGCTCGCGCAGGATAGATAGTCGTGGGAGGCAGAGGCGCGTGGTGGCGACCCGCCGCCGCACAGCTCTCAGCGCGCGCGAGGCATGCGGTCCCGCTCATCGCCGTGTAGCGCCGAGGAGGGCCACTATCCGCAAGAGAGTGTATTTTTTCTTGTCACACACATATGAAGAGAGATCTCTCTCACACAACTCACATCTCCGCGTTATGCGCTCGCTCTATTGGACAAAAACACAAAATTCTCTCTCATCTAACGCGTCATGGAGCACTTGTTGGTTCGGACATGTCCGGCGAGACTCTGGCGACATGGAGCACTTTTGGATCTTGAATATGCGGCGACACACCGCCGCACAAAACAACAACGAAAAATTTCTTTTTCAAAAAAGCGCGAAACTCGTCCCAGCATATGGGCCGGAATCGACGGGCGCCGGAATGAGCTTGCTGCGCCGCGCGCTGGGCTTGTTGCCAACAGGCCTACAGCGTGCGATTCGCGACAGCTTGCTGGCACAAGCACCAGCAGCGATCGAGGCGGCCAGAGTCTCGCCGGTGGTGCTGGCGAGGCCGGAGGAGGTGCAGGGTAGGCTCCGCCTCACTGCATCTCGGACTGGATTCCACGAATTGATTTTCCTAGGTGGCAGAGCTGTGGGCGGAGATGCAGCGGCGAGGCATCGAGCCGGACAAGTTGACGCACGCGGTGCTGGCGAGGCCGGAGGAGATGCTATCGCGGCAGCGGACTGCGGAGCTCGTGCGGTTACTGACTGTGGGTGACAAGAGCGCCGCGGATGCCCTGTTCGGAGGCTTGGCGTCCCGTGGCGTAGCCGACCATTACCAGCGTCGCGTTATGCGTGGGAGGAAGCGGGCTCTACATCGTCAAGCTGCTAGCCACGGCGAAAAACTACGCGAAAAAATGGGGGGTGTCTGAACAACTGTGTGTGAGAAGGGCCCGTGTGCTCGCGAGCTTGCGAGGTGCGTGTGCCGACACCAGCGCTCGCTTTTTCCCTTTTCTCGCGCGCTTTAGATTTAGTGTATTTTTATGACCCTGTCGTATTTGAATCTGAACCCGAACGACACACCGGTGATTACGTTACGCTCCGGTCTATGACTGTATGACTACCCGCCGGGTCAGTCCTCCCCTTCCTCGCCCGCATGCCTCCGAGCTCCACCCGAGATTACCCGAGATCAGTCCTCCTCGTCGGGCACCCGCATGCCGCCGAGCTCGAGCCCGAACCATCGCGTCACCTGCACAGCGGGCCCGGGGCATGGTCAGATGGGAGGGAGTCGCGGGCATATTTTCTGCTACATATAATTACTGGTTGGACTGGCGGGTCAGGTCGTGGCTAAGTTGGCCCTCATCCAAGCTCGGCCGGATCACCGATGGCTTATAATACGGTGCCTCTCCAGCCCCGGGCGGCAAGGGCGCGGGGCACGGCGGGACCGCCGCGCGAGCATGGCAGAGAGCGACAGACCCTGCGGCTGCGGAGCACGACGTACAGCGACGGTGTCGGGCGCACGCGGGTGCGGGTTTGGTGGGCGGGGCGGACAGGGACAGTGGGGGCGCGCGGGTGGGATTGGGGGGGGGGGGGGGTTGGCAT